ATTGCTACAAAGGTCTTTTCTACCTACCAGGCCTAATCCCGAGGCCTCATCCTGAAAGCCTGTTCCCTGAGACTCTCCGAGATCGGTTAACCTTCAAGGGTCCAGGTAAAAGACTAATTAGAAATGAATGCTGCTCGACAAGGTCATTGGAACGATTCCCTTGTGAATAAGGTAGCTCAGTTCGAAACCGCACGGCAGCTGTAAAGAAAGTGCAATGGGTGCAAGGACCTTTTTACCTGCATCAGTGCATACCTCGTACATCTATGTACCGCGTTTATGAATGCGTCGGCGTTATGCCTGCGTCTCACTCGTCCACTATGTTCCCTCGTCTACGTCTAATCTCTCGTCTTAGCGTCCATCCTTCTTGTCTCAAATTAGGCGTAATATCCCGTATATCTTGTTCACGATTCAGATTCAGACCATATCCAATCACCGTCATTCTGCTTTTGCTCTCGCGGAATGAGTGTTCAAAGCATCGCTGACCACTGTGAATCGAAGTGTTCAATTGACGTCCATCCAGCTGTTTCCGCGATTCTGAGCAGAAGTCGAGTGTTTGGCCCTATTAAGGATCTCGACGTCACCACTCTCTTTTTTCGCCCAACCCTTCGAGTTTTAGGCTTGAGTTCCATGTTAGCGCTATACGAAGGCAGCGGTTCGCGAGACAATAGTACGCACCAGAATCTTGATGGGCGTAGATACTGGGCTTGATTAGTGTTTCTCATGCAGAAAGCGAGCTTCGCTGGCGCGTCATGTAAGCATAGTGCTATCCTTCTCCCGCGCTGCCCAACAGCCCAAATTCTGCCTTCGAGTCTCAATGTTAATGGGTGGTTTACCGTATGCCTGTGTTTTTCCTGACCTATGAATAGCCCCTTAAATCTTCTCGCATTCATCCTTGAATGGTAGTGAGAACCAAACGCTGTATATCTGTGTTTCTATCATTATACTCTACAAAATATGCAATCACAATTTTTTTTATTCTTTATTCATTTTACCAACCTACTAAGCTTGTAGTTACTGCTGAACATGTCCTACTTACTTAGCTGAGTGCTTAAAGGCAGAATTTACGCTGAAAAGGCAACCCATTTCAAATTAACTTAGGGATGGTGATTGGTACGGAAAGAAGGAAAAACCATGAGAAACGGCCCAGAACCCGAGAAATGGGACCCCTTTCCTTGCCCGCTGATTTCCGCATTGATGCGACTCTCATCTTTGTGCCCTCTTCAACGCTAACGCTCTCTCTGCTATCTAATCACTCGCCGCATATAGACCTGCTGCGGGTGATAGACAGTCGTGGGGTATGGCGCAACTGCGCCAGGGTGAGCATGCTAGGATCGTGCTGAGTCAAAGTGTTGCTGCCAGGCCGTGTACAGTCAGCACCTCCAAAAGCCCATCCGGCCCTTCCATCAGGCAATTTTCACACTTTCTATATCGACCTGGCGTTCTTATTTTGGGGAGTCCTCCTTTTCAAATGACCGCGCCCTTGGGTACGTGCGATATTAGCCTTACGCTGGTCCCAACCTCGTTCCCTGGAAATGTTTTTTTTTCTCGAAAGGAAGCTCCTTTTGTTTACAAATTGATATCAGCTGCCTCTGATTCTTCTGAAGTGTCTTTCTTGGATTTTGGGCTGAATATAGCGTGCAAAATAGTGTTTTTATCCTTAATGACTTGTCCGCTGGCAGTACACCATCCTTAGGGAACCAAGAGCAGGGGGGGGGGGAATGCGAAGGGGCTTGGGCTCGAGGGGGCCGATCCCCTCGGCGTTACAATCGCGATAGAACGCTTGTTGCCACTGCGCTGCCTCCAGCCTTCAGGCCAACCAACTTCTATTTTTTGCCAAAAGGTTTTAAGTTAAATTGTACGCATGAAAATAGAACTTGCCAAATAATATGGCCATGGCAGTGTAAAAAATTCTGACCATCTTATGAGTGTTTTCAATTTCAATACATAATCCCTTTATGGGTACTTTTTTAGGGCGCATGCCTTATGATACCAGAGGGTAATTAATTGTATTCGCTAAATATTGGAAATGCAGCCGTGAGCGAACCGGTTACCATAGGGGAAACGGTTTCTCTTCTGACAATGGCTTCCAGCGACAACATTTATGTCAGTTTGCCGAAATTTCAGAAAAAAACTTCTTTTTGAAGAAATTCTTCCGGAGTTTCTCAGGATTATTGGAATCCTTCATGTGTTTCTTTGAGGACGATACATTTTCCAGTCGTCTATGTAGGTCACTCGAATCACAAAGGGGCTGCGAAGCGCTGCAATCAATTTTATCTACAGAACGCTGGCTGAACAACTATATCTCAGGTTTCAGTATGTAGCATTAAAAGTGTAACGGGTGTAAAAATATTATCGTCTGAATCAATAAAAAGGAATTATATATTATATATAATATATTTATGAGAAGAACAAAACAACTTCATGAGATGAATGAGTTCTTTCATAAAGTCACGGCTGGAACGAAAGCGTATGAGTGGTGATTTGTGACAGAACCTGCAGAAACTGCACTTTGCACGGCTGTTTTTTGCGATTCATACTCAGTTTTTCTTCGAAAACAATTTCGGCATCCTTCAATGGAACCAGTTTCCTATGATGCGTTCATTGTTTTCCCAAGATGGCTAGGACAAAGAGGTTTGCGACCTATTAAGTCAGCCGAAATAAGAAGTTTCATAGATGTAACAGTTCAGCATCAAAGCACACAAAACCTCTTATAAAGGAGCTTTCCTCATTCGTTCATGTTGTATTTCTGCAAACAATACCGCGATAACGCTCAGTTTTCGTTTACCGTATCTCCGTGTGGTCTTGAAATCCGTCTCAAATCCATCATTACATCGACCCATACCTCTGACGACTTTATATCTGCCTTCTTTATACTTGAAGATCTGTAGATGTAAATTTACGGTGGAGGTGGAATACATGGCGCATTTTTAACTGCTTGATAGCTGCCGTGCATCCACTTTTTTGCCCAGATATAAAGGAGGCAATGATATCTCTGAATTTCTTAAGAAAACGCTAGGGAAACCTTTCCTAATGCTCTGATAAGTTGAAATATGTCGTACTACATTATGATAATAGCACTGCTCTGTAGGACCTTCACTTCTGAAAGTGGGGGCAAAGTTTGAAAAATTACAGATGAAACAAAAGTGCCCACTGAAACGCTTTTTTGCGCATTTCATCCTTCCCTAAGGAAAACCCTTCTGGGTTGACTGAAGACTTTCTTTGGAATACCCTGAATTCGTGAAAGTAGAGGATTCCTAAAGTCTAGAAAAGGAACACACTGATATTTGAAAGGAACTGGTTAAGTGAGAGAAAATAGTGCTCGAAAAAGCCGTTGCGACGAGAACTTTTGACTCTAACTGTATGCCGAACGCAATACGCTCTCGTATCGAATCCTCCCTGAGACTGCAAAAGCATTTGCTTGAGCGCTCAATGCAAGATCTGTGCAAGTACATAAATGCGGATGTTTCATTTGAGGCAGGTTTTGTTTCTCCGTCAAATGAACACTACTTCTGAATGGCACAGAAGGGATAAAATGTTGGGCAGGTCTGACCTAAGATTCGATCCACCCCACCGTGCACCTGAATGCAGCTGATATGGCAGCTCTGTCCTCCGCTCAGCCGACTCCCTAAATTCGATCTGTGACTCAATTTTTTTAAGAATATTCTTCAAAGGATAAGTTATATCGGTCGTGACAATCGGCCCGTGTTGTAAACATCTGATCAAACCTATTGCTTGAAACCGCAAGAGAACCGGTTACAATCTCCAGCTGGGCCAAAGTTATCTACAATTCAGCATACATCTTCCTAATTATTCGTTCCCCACTTGCCCCGTCATCGTACTTATATGTTAGACATAACTAAAAGTACAATACTAGTGCTTACTTCTTACCTTGAAGAAAAAAAAACCATCACAATTCGTCTGGAAAATCCTCCCAAGAAGCTTTCTGCCTTACGCGGGCATAATGTCTGCTGGCCGGCCCTGTCACATGTCATTCATGCATCACCAACCGATTCATACCTGTTTGGCGAATTTACGTATCTCTTCGTCAAGTTTGTTTTTCGGACGTAGCGCGCCTGAACCCTTCCTTCTCCACGGCCCTTTTCTGCTCGCTCGCTAAATGATCAACCACCCGATCGACCGTCCTCGTCGGGCATAAAACCGCCTCTCTTCACAGCCACAATCGTCATCGTGTTCTAATCAGTCGTGTTGCTCATTGCTGCGTGATTTAATCCGGCATACTGTAATTTTCCGGCCACAGAATTTTTACCGTGCTCATTTCAGATGACAAAATTAGGCATTACGCCAGGCGTTCATGGCGATGGCACCGACGAAAAGAGTGCTGATACCGTCACCGATACGTGAAAGTTGATCCCAAGGTGATGAGCCTTTGCGTCGAAGCCTCTAACTGAGCAGATACACGTCAGCGCTAGGAATCTCGAGGATAACTAACGCCTCATGTTCAGTGCTTTGCGAATCGGAGTCTCTGCTACTACCGAATCGCTCGATAGTAAACGTCTAAAAGACATCTCAATATTCAGAAGGCCAACTCCCGCTCCTCAAGAACGTAATTTGTTCATTCCTCATTAAAGGTCCATTACTAGAGCAAAAAACTTGTTAGACGTGGCGCTTAGATGATTTCTTTCTGACTAGCCAATTTTCCTACTTTTTTTGCGGTGTTTGCAAACAGCTAACTGTTACAGGCTAAAGACGCATGCCCGGGGAATCCTTGCCTACCAACTTTCGATCTCCGGTCTCTGTGGCGAAACATCCCCTTTGGCGCTCTTCACCCATCGTTTTTTCACAGTACCTAAAAAATAAGCGAATACTGCAATGCAATTATGGGAATGACAACTCGTCCACTTTTCAGGTGTTCACCGTACTACAGCCAACTGTGATTCCGATTCAGACACAACCGGCAGCAAAACCACGCCGCTCTATCGGCAGTGCCATTTGCGCGTGTTCTGCTTTTCCTCCTATTCATCTCATGTTTCACAGCTGGCATGGTGCTCATCTATGGAGCCGACACGATCTTCAATGGAATTTACGGGGTGAGTAAATAAATTGAAGATGAAAAAGTCATCCTCCGTATTTGTTATGAGAATCATCGAAGTTTGAAAAAAAGAAGTCCAATCGGAAAAATTTAAACCATACCTGACCGGAGCTCATCTTAATTGCATATGAGGTTCATATGAAGCACGTCTGAAGTGAGAACCTCTCGCCCTACAGCACTGTAACCCCTCCCCCATCCCGACTGTTTTCCGAAACGGATCGGTTTCTAATGGGTCGTTAGTTAAAAAAATCCCGTTAACCTTTCCATGCCCACAATACGAATTTGATCTTTAGAAAGATTTTGTCCGAAATCTCGGAAAGTCTCCACCTTACCGCCGGAAATTCCTTTCCTAGAACTGCACACCCGCGTCCTTAAGTTGGGTGCTTTCTTCGGAGGAACTACCCAGGACGGGTGCACCAATGGATTCCACAGACTGCCATTTAGCGTCGATTTGTGCAGATGATGTGCACGACCGTGTGGATGGCTACAGTAAACCGCGTCGGCCGAAAGAAAACACTTAGACTGTTTGTAATAGTGACGTATGAAGGCAGAGAGCAGTATGTTGGGGTGGGAGCGAGCGCGGTTGGATAGGTGGAACCTGTTCGAACAATACCGACTGTCTTTGGTAGCGGCACTGTTCAACGCTCTGAAACGAGTGCATCATCACAGATGGGAAACGAGGGGTGTGACGGGGAAGACGGGCAAATTTAACAGGGATTTCGTACAATCGGCAAAGGGAGGAACATATAAATAACAAATTTGAGGGTGAAATTAGCATAGCTAAGAAAATGTTGGCATAATAAAGGCATGAATAGTAAAGTGTAGATTGAAGAGTTAGAGCTCAGAAAACTGATGTTCAGGCTATTAAGGGCGATCAGAGCGCCGTTGCTACTACCATGGCACCAACAGCAGAACAATTCGGCCTGGTTAATCCAATGGGTAATGACCTCAAGGACGGAAAGCCGGCAGCAGATGACGAGGTAAGTAGTGAAACCTTCAAAACCAACCATAAGAAGTAAGTAAGAATAAGCCACAGATTCAGAATTTTTCTGTTCGTTTTTTGAACTTTCATAGCAAAGTATAGGATTAAGCAAGTTCTACATATTTAGCATAGTTACAAAACTTATGTGTTTTGTTCCGGAAAACCTTAGCCTTCGTTTGAGCCCACTCGAGCACC